TTGAAAACCACAGAAACCAGGATCATTTCCACAATCAGCAGGATTCAAATATTCCCCTCTGTAGAAACAGAACTGTTGCCAAAGAACAGATTCTACAACTATAATTTTAAAAAAAAGGCCGCTGTCCAGGTTTCCAGATCACCCAATCACTAGTGAAGCCCACTGTCTTTCAAAGCCTTACTGTCTTTATAGTGGTTTACTCTTTAATATGAACAGCTAAAGGAATACCAAACATGGAAAACTTTCAAAATGGAAAATAGAGACCTATATTAGTCTGTTCTCACACTGGTAATAAAGACATACCTGGCGACTGGGTAATTTATAAACGAAAGAGGTTTGTTTAATTGATTCCCAGTTCCACATGGCTAGGGAGGCCTTACAATCATGCAGGGAGGTAAATGAGGAGCAAAGTCATGTCTTCCATGGCAGCAGGCAAGAGCGTGTGCAGGGGAACTCCCCTTTATAAAACCATCAGATTTTGAGAGACTTATCAGTATCACAAGATAGTGAGAACAGGATAGGAACGACCTGCCCCCATCATTCAATTACCTTCCATGGATCCCTTCCACAACACATGGGAAATATGGGAGCTACAATTCAAGATGGAATTTGGGTGGGGAAACAGCCAAACCATGTCAAGACCAAGGCAACAAGCATGATAAAGGGTCTTAATCAGGGAGAGGCTAGAGAAAATAATACATTAGTGAAACAAGGATATACTAAAAAGAAAAAGAGGGAATGATCAGAGAACAAGAAGGGACTTCTTTAAAAATAAAAATATGTTAATCAAAATTAAAAACAAATTAAAAATTAAGAGAGGTCTTTTTTGAAAGCAGAAATATAGGATATCACTTGAAAAAATAGAACTAAAATAAGAAGAAATAGAAACTAAAAAGAAGCAAATTTTTTGAAATTAGAGATTTAGTCCAGGAATCAAATACCTCAGTAATAGCAGGACCAGGAAACAAAAACTGGTAAATGGTGAGGAGGAAACCATCAAAGAAAATGTATAGGAAAATGTGTTAATAATTATGAATGCATTTCTCTTGATAAAGTTAACTTACAAAATGACCTAAGCTAAGGCACATTGTGAAATTTCAGGACACCAGGGGTGAACACATGTTCCCAACTGTTTCCACAGAGGGGAAAAAAATTATATACAATAATTTAGAATCAAAACAGTATCACACTTCTTAATAGTAATGTGGAAGTCTAGATGACAGTGAATTCCTTGAAAATTCTGACAGAAAATTTCTAATCCTCCATGCCTAATAGTATAAAAATGTAAAATAAAGAACAGTTCCAGATAGTCAACCTCTCAGTAAGATGTACATTGTATGTACCCCTTTTCAGCAAGCTACTAGAAAATGTAGCTCATTAAAACAGAAAGTAAAAAAGAAAAAGGAATTAGTGGTATCTAATACAAGAGAAAAATTATTAGTATCATGGGAGAGATATGTCTTAGGGCAAGAGCTGGGCAACAGGCCTCGAAGGCTTGAGTCCATATTTTAGTAAAAGGTCAGAAAGCCCAGGAAAGATGTCTCTAGGAAAGAAAAATGGAGCTGACCAATTATTTGAAAGTTTTCAGACAGTGGAAAATTGTATTGTAGAACATTTACAGAGCTTTCAGATAGGGAAAGGCTTGGATGTTAAAAAACAAACAGAAACCCTGATATCCAGCCCACTTCCCTCAGCAGTGAATGATATATACAAAGCCACGAGAAAAAGATGGGAAAGAGAAGAGAATGTATAAATGTGCAAAAAAAGCCAAAAAGCTCTTCTTTCATAGTAAAAAGATAAATAATGTCTAATATTTACAAATAAAGAGATATCAATATACATTCATAATATAGAAAAACATTTTCAGGAAGTAAACCAATGTATTGAACAGCAATGACTTTGGTACACATATTTTCTTTCAGGGGTGTGGCAGTGTGTACAAAAAAGAGACTTTTAATATAATTGTATATCTTTTAGAATTATTTAAATTGTAAAGGTGATTACCTATAATATTGTTGTATGAAAGTCTTAAAAGAAGGGGAACAAGAGTACATATTTGGGACTAGCCTGCTTCTCTTTCTAAGGTATCTATAGTTAAGAATCCTTCTTTGAAAAGCAATGCTTGAGAGAATGATTGGGCTGGGGCAAGTTTAGAGATCATTCAGTTCAACTTTCTCCTTTTACAAGTAGAGAATTTGAAGCTACAAGAAAGGAAGATTACGTAGCAAGTCAATGTGAGAGCTGGGAAGTCCAGGCAGTGACTCCCTGTTTACTTCCCATGTCTAAAGGGAAGAGTAAATAGGAGCATAGAGAACTAGAAAAAAGAAGCTGGTTTGGAGTTAGACAGATTGAGTTTAAATCTTGGCTCCTTGTGAAAAAAAAATTCACAATTATTTTTCTTACTTGGAGCAGTATTGACCAACTGTTGTTTAAGGACTATTTGCTTGTTTTTGTTTGTGTGTTCACATCTCTTACTCATTTTACTCTCACTTTATTGGGCTGCTTCTTTCTTTATAGAAGTTTGTTATATATTAAGGATGTAAACCTTTTATTTGTGCTATAAGTTGTCAATCTTTTCCCTGCTTTGTCTTTTGTCTTTTTACTTACAGTTTTTTATTTTCTACCAGTCTCTACTAAAAATACAAAAATTAGCTGGATGTGGTGGCGAGCACCTGTAATCCCAGCTATTCGGGAGGCTGAGGCAGAATTGCTTGAACCTGGGCGGGGGAGGTTGTGGTGAGCCGAGATTATGCCACTGCACTCCAATCCAGCCTGGACGACAAGATTGTGTCTCAATCCATCAATCAATATTTTGTCAGATTTATTAACCTTACCCCTTATCGGATGTAGATTTTTAGCTATAGTTAGGAAGTACTTCCCCTTGGTTGTGCAGGAATTTATTCTTGTCATATGTATTGCATTTTAAATCTCTAATACCTTCAAAATTTATTTCCTATGTGTGATGAGAGGAAAAGATCTAATTTTTATTTTTTATGTGACTTTCTGGTTAACCAAACATCACTCATTAAAAAGTCCATCTTTTCTCCCCTCGGTTTGAAATACCACCTTTATTGTATGATAAATTTACATATCAAAGGATTTTATTGTACTGTATCTCTCTTATTTCCCTTTTTTTGCTGAATTTCATTTGATAATAGTGAGAACCAGGAGTATGTGATGCAATAAGACCTTGTACACCAAAAACCTGTTATTAGTAGACAATTTTTACATTATCTATAAACTATAAACTATTGTTCTTCAAGTTAGTTATTTTGTTTAAATGAAGGAAATAAACTCACTTTTTTGCATGTAGCAAAAGGAATGTGAACCTAACTAAAGAGAGACTTATAAAAGTAAATTGTCTAAACTCTTTTTTGCTCAGAGCCTGAAGAGGGTTTTGTAGAGAAGCAGCCTGATGCGATTAATGCAGGGGGTCAGACTTTGAGGTCAGCATCCTGCCCGTCAGTAGCTGTTTTGTTGTGAGCAAGTTCTTAATTTCCCAAGACTTCTTTCCTTACTTCTAAAATGGAGATAATAAAGTCTTTCAAGGATGTTGTGAGCACAGTTCTGAGTGCCATCATTCAGCATAGCATAGTGCCAGCACATAAAAGACACTCAGTAAATGTCAGTTCCCTTTCTCTCCAGGGGAAGATGCGTCTATAATTTTTACTATAAAATTTTCTCCAGCTAGTCATGAAAATAAGGATTAGCCTGTTTTTCACTCTAAAAAGCTGACTAAGTAAAAGGAGCAGATGAGAAATCAAGGTTATTTACTTTCCCATTCCCTGTCGTTGTTGCTGCCTTCACTGGATAGCAGCCTTCCTAGGCTGTTTTCAGAGTGAAACAGGACAAGTGGGATGACAGCATCATGGAGATTGTTGACTTCTATGTGGCCCATGTAAGTCTAGAAAGGGGGAGAAATTCAGGAGGAGGATTAAGAACAGAGATCTTCCTTTCCTCTTCCTGTTTTTAGTATTGTTTTTAGCTTTCCTGTTCAACGGGGAAATCTGGCTTATAATATTTTACTTTCGCTGGGAACAGTGGCTCACACCTGTAATCCCAGCACTTTGGAAGGCCGAGGTGGGTGCATCACCTGAGGTCGCAAGTTCAAGACCAACTTGAATTACAATTTGTGTCTGTTCAGAATGAAATGGAGATGTGAGCATTTTTTTTGGCAAAATTCAGTAAAGGTTAGTCATCTTTTAGAATCTCCACATCTGATTTTCATTCAGAGTCCTATTTAGGCTTTATTTGGCCTAAGAATTTTCATAATTATCTCATTTGTAGTAAGACTGTAGTAAGTATAGATATATTTAAGGAGATGTGTTTTTAAAACATTAAATTATATTTAGAGTTATTTTTATTTTCATGAATTATTGAAGTCCCAGTCATTATTGTAATTCATAATTTCATTCATTCCTTAAAATAAACTCATTGAAAATAGTTCCTGTAACTCATCATTCAATGTTAAGGATTGTTAACATTATTATGTGAAAATATCTTGAGAGGTACTACATGAATATGATTCAGTCAGTTTTAATGCAGCCCTGATTAGATTATATGCATATGGCACTTGAGGAAGTGTTTTCAAATACATTTTTATTTAATTTTTGCAACAGCATTGTGATATGTCAGTATTGTTAACCATCATTTATTGTTGAAGAGATTAAGGCCCAAATAAGCTAAATTTTAAGTGGCTCAGCCAGCCAGGGGTAACAGACCTCAAACTCTCATTTCAAATCTAGTGTTCTACAATGCTATAGTTTAGATATCCGCATATGTTAATTTTTCCATACTAAAATTGCATCAAATTTTCCATTAAATGAATCTTATGCTTTATTTGCAATATTCTATTTGCAATCTTTCATTCTTGCTTAATTTTCTTAATTTAAATATATAGTAGTCCTTTGGCATGAACAAACGAGAACTATTTAAAAGCACGAAATTTGCACCATAAAGTAAGAGGGAACTTAGCGCTAAGGCCTGGTTTTATTTTCCAGGTGGCGTTGCATGCTTGTGGAGTGGCAACAGACATGGTGATTGAGCACTGTATCAAAACACGGGCTTCCTTTGTCACATGCCCTTGCTGTTATGGTTTCATTCAGAACACCTCAAAGTTTAATTTTCCAAAAAGGTGAGAAATTCAGTGTTCTACCTAAGATACCAAAATGGGTAAAATACCAAAAAAACTTGTTTGATACAAAGTTACAATGAGATTGAGCTCATTTCTTCTTTCTACAATGCCAAATATTGTTTATAAATTGTACAAGAAGAGAAGAACTCCTTTGTGTTTGTCCCTGATTTTTCTCCTGGATCCAGTTTTTGCTGAAATTTAAACGCAAGGCCATCCAGGAGTCAGCCAACTAGAAGTCTATCAGCTTTAGCACTTCTCTCTGTATTTCTAAATAAAATTAAAACCATAATCGTAATATCTATGAGAGGCAGTCGAGTATAGTAAAGTGTTTAGGATCTGGAAGTATAGTGCCTGGGGGAAAATACTAGCTCCTTATCAGTGTATAAGTTGTTTCACCTCAGGCAAATTACTTAAACTCTTTTTGCCTTAGTTTTATCATCTACAAAATGAGGGTTATGGTAATAACTACCTCAAGGTTTTTGTGAAAATTTAATGATATGTGTAAAGCCTTTAGAAGTGGCAAGAGTAACTCTCAATAAATGTGAACTGTTGCTAATAACAGTAGTACTGTCAAAAGATCCTTGGGGCATTGCTTTGCCAGCTGGAACCTCTATGGCCAGTGGCACCTTTGCCCAAGTTTTACTGAGGCCCACTGGGCTCATTCCACTCACTCAGCCTTCTTGCCTCACACTACTGGCCCAGATTCCACACCTGCCAAGTGCAAGTGAGGTACAGAATGGTGAGGGCTGCACGAGTGAGCAAGCACGGGGTTTGGCCACTGCACACAGCCAGGTATGCTGGCTGCTGCGGGGCAGGCATCTCCAGGCAACAGCATGGGTACTGGCTCCCTGCAAGGCTGCACCTGGACCAGATATACTGCAAGCAGCTTCCACTGTGAGCACTAGGGAACACGGTGGCCCCCGGAAGCTTGGAAATACCAGGAGCCATAGAGTCCCTGTCACAGCCCTGGCTCGGGGAGCTCCTATGTCTGGTCTCCCCAAAGGGCCACCTCTCTTTCCTTCTCCTTTCTCTCCTTCTCATGCTTGCAACATGGCAATTGGGTGTGTTTAGGGGCTGGGGAGGGTGTTTCAGCCCTGTTTGTGTTACAGCCCTTTTAGTCCTGCCGTTCAGCAGGTCCTGAGTTCTTGTCCCACATCCAGGATGAATGAGGTAACAGAAAACTGCAGGATGAGTGAGGCAAAGAGGTGCTTTATTGAGCAGCAGTACAGCTCTCAGGAGATGCAAAGTGGGTAGCTCCTCTCCACATACAGGTCATCCTGATGTCCACTCAGCTCTCAGCTGAGAGGAGACCCACAGAGGGTAGCTTCTGTCTACAGGCAGGTCACCCCAATGTCCGCTCAGCTCTCAGCAGAGAGGAGATCCACAGTGAGTAGTTCCTCTCTGCAGGCAGGTCATCCTGACATCTGCTTAGCTCTCAGGTGGAAGGAGACCCACAGTGGCTAGCTGCTGTCTGCAAGCAGGTCATCTCATCATCTCTGCAACCCTCAGCAGAGAGGAGACCCAGAGTGGGTAGCTTTTCTCTGCAGGCAGGTCGTCCATTGTCTCCCAAATATGGCAGAGTCCAGGGTTTTTATGGACTTCAGCGGGGAGGAAGCGTATGTTGACTGGCCCATGAGCAGCCCTGGGTGGGCCTGGAAAAAGCACTATAAATTTTCTTTTTGGTACATGGAGCTGGCAGCTTGGGCCCCAGACTTTGGGCCATTCCTTGGTTGATGGTGGGGCTTCACTGGGGACCCACCCCTTTCCACCCAGGAGCCTGTCTGCCTCCTGTTGCCATCAACCTGCTATCCATGGCCCATGGCATCCAGGCTGTTTGTGCCAAGGGGTGCCTGCAGGCCCATGTCAAGCTGCCCTCAGTCCCCCCTTGCCCACCTCCTTCCCATTTTCATCGACGCCCAAAGTCAAGATGGGGCTGAGGCAGAGGGGGCTGGCATGTCAGCACCACTTTGAGTGCATGTATACCTGGCCAGATCACTATTGCACCTGTGCTCAACCTCAACTTTGCTCTGAAGTTGGGGCAGGCACTGGGAGTGAGGAGAAGTCAGGCAGTGGGAGCAGGCACTTCTGAGCCTGCAGAGGCAGGATGGCTTACTGGGCTCCTGAGACTGTAGAGATGCCCAGGTCTTCAGCCGTGGATGGGCAGCTGCAGCTGCATCTGGGAGGGCGGAGCTCCCACCAGCTCCATGGAGTGTGCAGCCCCAGGCACAACTCCCCCGCTGCAGCCAGTGTCATGGCAGTGGGCACTCCACATGGGCTACCGCTATCATCAGTCCCCACTCTGAAGAGGTGCCTTTAACTGCAGTTAGGATAGGGATGATGACTGTTCTTAACTGCTTCATGCTGATAGGGGGCATTGTTTTGGGGAAAATGGCAGTCAGATCTCTCTCAGAGGCCTAAGGGTCTCTGGTAAAAAGGGAAACATTGTTTGAGGCTCCAGTTGTATGACTGCTTAGAGTTTGATGGCCTCTAGGTAAGAAGAAACAATTTTACAAGGAGGTTAAGTATGTGAAGGAAAACATCTAGTGCCAAAGATAACAGAAATAACTTTAAAAAAGAAATATTAATAACTTTATGGGAGCAGATAAATCTCTTGGGAGTTCAGGATTAAGGGATACTTGACATAGATACTTTACATGAGGAACAGAACAAAAGTGAGAACAGTAAGCATAGGATATCCATGGAGGGTTAATTGTTGAGCACTTATCTTTTGTGATTGTTAGCTTGAGGTTCCTGATTTCTTCACTCTAGTACTTTGGCTGCTCTCCTGGGTCAACAGAGGTAATTTTGTCAGTTCCCCAAGCCTTTACTCGAGTGTAATGAATCCAAGAATCTATTCCAGTGACATTTACTGCAATGGGAGTAGAAAGAAATACAGTCTAAGGTCCCCACCCTAGTCCAGGCCTAGAGAGGGAGAAAGAGAAGGAAGAGCCTATACCAGTACTAGGTCCCCTGGGTTGAATAGAGGTGTCCCTAGTTCTCGGGATTGGGCCTCCAATTGTTGTTTCTGTTCCTGTTGGAAACAGGCCAAAGAAGTTGCGTATTTAGTAAATCAGAGGTTTCTTGGTATAGCAAGAAGTCATTGGTGAGAAAAGGCTGTCCATACATCATTTTGAAGGGACTTAAACCCAGCTTTGAAGAGGTGTTTCTAACACTTGGTAGGGCTATGCAGAGAAGAGTAATCCGGGGGAGATGAGTATCTTGAGACAGTTTTCTGAGGTGCCTTTTGATAATAATATTTGTCTTTTCTACCCTTTCCTGAGGATTTTGGTCTCCAATCACAGTGAAGATGGTATTGCATGCCTAGTGCCTCTGAGACCTCCCCACCTCTCTACCTACTGGCTGACAGCTGCCTTGAATGAGTTGCCATTATCACTCTGGAGATATGTAGGAAGTCCAAAGTGAGGAATTATTTCATTAATTGGTACTTGTATCACCTCAGAAGCTTTCTCTGTTCAACATGGAATGCTTCTACCCAGTTAGTGAATGTACCTACCCATACTAGGAGGTACTGGATGCCCCTTGTCTTTGGCATATAGGTGAAATCCATTTGCCTGTCTGCACCTGGGTAGCCTCTCCTGTTCTTTGGGTTCTAATGGGGGAAGCCATCGATTGAGGGGATTATTTTTAAGGCAAGTCTCACAAGCATCAACAACTTGTTTGACCATCTTTAGCAGATTTTTACCTGAGAAAAAGCTTTGGACCACTTTATCCTTACCTAGGTGAAGGCTTGGTGGAGGATTTTAAGAACTTTCCATTGGTTGGGAGCTGGTAGATGAAGCTTGCTGTCCTCCAGTTGCAGCCATCCTGAGGACTCAAGAGTGTATCCTGGAGAGGTAGCTTATTCTATCTCCATGGAGGAATACTGAGGTTTTCTTTTTCATGAAGCCCTCCCAGATCAGAGGGGCCTCAACTGGACCAAATATGTGGGGCCTTCTTGCTGTTGATTTAGCCGCTTGGGCTGCCAACATATTTCCTTTGGCTATTTTATCCATCCCCTTTTCCCTTCTGGTGGCTTTGACAGTATATTACTACCACTTCCTGTCTTTTTCACACCTTTTTTTTTGACATTATTCCTCCCTTGTCCTTTGATATTTTTAGAAGGCTTCTTTGTAAATAAGACCTGTCTCAATCACCAAAAACAGAGTTGGGAATTTATAAATAGCATACTGTTTCTACAGTACATGGAAAGAAGTACTCATTTCAAACAAACTAGTTGGCACTAATGAATTTAGCATCATATGTATAAGTCTATGTTTTTGATTGACTTAATCAAGAGTAAAGGCTATAGCATTAATAAAAGATAATGTTTATCAAATGTATGTTTATCTTTATTACCTGTGACAACAGTGATTTCCTGATATATTAATCATGCCTGTTTAAATTTTCTTATGTTTTATCGTTTACTGATCCTGGAGAGACTGTTCCTCCCAGGGCTAGCCAGTTCCCATAGATAGTAAAGGTCTTATCAACAAGCATACCTTTCATAAGCAAAGCAACCAACCCAGAGCCTTTACCCTACAAGTACCTCCTTTATTAAGCTCTTATTCCAGGCCAGCATCCCTCTACCCTAATCCCATAGGCCAGATACCAAACAAGTAGGAACAGCCCTATGCCTGAGTTCACTGAAATTATTCAAACTAGCCATTCCCAAGTTTGCTTACCTCACTTGTCTCTTCCCATGGAAATCTCTCCCTCCTGACCTATACTGGTGTTTCCCCATGTGGCCCTTTGTCACATGGCATGCCCCCTCTTCTTAGGGAACTGTGAGTGATAAAGTATCTTTTCCGTGGCAGCCATCTCCTGATCTATTGGCTGTGCCACACCTGAATAACAGTAAAACCCACATGTTAAAACACCTGGATCTGGGTGTTCCCAAGAGGGGAAGAGAAAAAAAGGTGCTTCTCTAACAGTGTAAACTGTTAAATAGATTTAACAGTTGGCTGTGAAATAGATTTCTTAAAATTAATAACACTGATGATATGTCTTTCTATCTTTTTATAAAAGCATTTCAAACTGGCATAGTTTCTACTTCAGCATAGCATTTTATACTTTTACATACAAAACATTTTTATTTATAATTTAGTTTCTTCAAGATTATTTTACTCTTAATATTTAGTATTTAAAATGATGATTAATTCATTTTTTTTTCTATTTCAGTGAACAATTCAAGAAAACTTTATCATACAAGGTAACCTTAAAAAGATCTAGGTGTCATCCTAATACACTTTTTATCCTTTGTATTTCTCACTCTCACATTTCTAGTGGAGTAAATATAGTTAAAACTGAATAACTCATGAATGTCTAATATGGCTTGCTTTGCACATCCAGATTAACCATTCAAGTAGGTAGCAATATTTGTGAAGGGTCGGAGATTTTAACACTACTTGCAATCTAACAAGTTAGCCTGCCAGGGGATTCTGGCAGAAGATATGAGACCCCTGAGTCAGAGACAAAAGACAATTTGTTGCTCATGGCAATAGTGGTAGCACAATACCATTGTTTTTACACTGACTCTGCCATCCAATTCCCACAAGGCAGAAGCAAATGGGCCAGGTAATATCTGCCTTTTTTTTCCAGAGGGAGATAATATGTATTTTCCAAGGCTGTTTACTCTGCAAACATGCTTGAGAAGATAATCTAGAACAGACAAAAATTCTTTTGTAAAAGTTCAGAAAGTAAATATTTTAGGCTATGCTGGCCACAATGAATCTCCCAGTATTCTTCTTCATTGTCCTTGACATTCTTATTGCTTTTGTTGGTGGTGGTTTACAACTCTTTAAAAATATGAAAACTTCCTTAACTCACAAGCCATACAAAAACTGGGCATAGGCTGAATTTGGCCTGTGGGCCGTACCTTGCTAACTACTGGTCTGGAACAAAGACACTCAGTGTCTTTCCTTGCAAAACATGAAGAAACATAAGAGACCCACATAGAATTGTCTGTCAAAAGTAGTCAGAACATATATAGTTTTCAGTCACCAATCTGATCAAAACAGTTTCTAGCTTCCTAAACATCATCACTATCCAATTAACTGGTCAATAGCATGATATAATACAGTTTAAGAAATGATAATATTTGAGAAAAATATATAAATCATTCCATTAGAAGTTGATAAAATCATCTGGATTCTTAGTTAATGCCACTTTTTGCACAGACTCACTAAAGATGTAGTCTGATTTTACAAACCAGCCCCTATATTTTAGGACTTTTTCTTTCTCCTCCATCAAACAACTGAAATATAGTAAGGTATAGTGACCTAAAAAGTTCGTTGCAACCATGTCAGCAGCTATATCTTCTTCATCCCTGATTTATAACTCTTACATAGCCACTTCCAGTTCTGTCTCTTACCACCTTACATGCTACCCACACCTTGCCCCCTTCCTACCATCCCTGCTCCCTGTACAAATATACACAGATATGGAGAGGTATGGTGAAAGGAGGACTTCTAGTGTTCATGCTTTCAGCCAAAACCACAACATTGCTGGCCTTTGCCTACTAGATTACAAAGTGTACATATTTTTAGGAAGCTATATAATTTTGGAGGAAGCACTAGGACCCAAGAACCTTTATTTACATAACGTTCAAAACATCTCACCTTTCTGTCACAAAGCTATGCCAATAAAGTAGAAAATAAATTGGGAAAACAGACCAAACTAAGTGGCTCACGCCTGTAATCTCAGAACTCTGGGAGGCTAGGCAGGCGGATCACATGAGAACAGAATTTGAGACTAGCCTGACCAACATGGTGAAACCCCATCTAACAAAGTCGCCTGCCAGTGGATCCTGGCAGAAGATATGAGACCCCTAATAATAATTCTAATTATCCTTCGGGAGGCTGAAGCACAAGAATCTCTTGAGCCTGGGAGGGCTCCAGTCTGGGTGACAGAGTGACACTCTGTCTCAAGAAAAAAAAAAGAAATGGGAAAACAAAACTAGACCCCTGTTTCAAATCCCTTCTTGAGAGATGTTAGTTAAACCAAACAATGAGAGGATGTATGGAAAAAATCAAGGGTGGTGAAGAGATAGGCTACCCATGGGGTCCTGGCTGGAAAATAATGCAAAATTTCTAGTGAGAATGGAGCATACAAAATCTTTTAGAAAGCAGAAACTCCCCAGTGCACCAGTCATAACCTTTATCTACTCTTTCTTCAATATCCCCCAAAACTGCATGGCCTTTTGAAGGTCTCAGAACTTTGTGCCCAAATATCTTGAGAGTCACTTTAGAAGTGTTTTTCTCTATAGTTCAATTTAGACAGCAGCCTTTACTGAGTACTGACCATGTGCCTTGCCCTTTCAGAACTTGATTTTGACTAAAGAGAACATGCACACAAACAATTCCAATAAAAAGTGGTGAGACTTATCAGTACAAGAGAACTGAATCTTATGTGAGATTATAATTTACTTGATATTACCATTATATAAAATGAATTTTAATTTACAAATACCATGAGGACAAAGTGCATGCTTTTTCTTCAAGTCATGTAATTCTAAATTATCCTTCTCTCCCTTCATTGATGCCTGTTTGTGGGGACATAAAGTTATTAATTCAAACTATTTTATTAGTTTCTCACCCATTGTCATGAAATTTTATAGTGAGCATTAAAGTGTTTTTTTTTAAAAAAAGCATAAAAGTTGAGACAAAGGTATCCCTTTTTAAAAAACCAACATTGCCACAATCATTTCACTTGTTAAAAATGGAGGCTTCAAGTGTACTGTACAGAATACTAAAGGAACAATTGATGAATCTGAGTTTAACCTGTTTGCTAAGCTGACAGGTGAGATCATGTACACACTTAGAAACGACAGCTGTTCTGAATGAACAGTTGTCAAGGGATCATTGCTTCATTTCCATTCTGCCTAATCACTCACTTTTGGCTACATGCAGATTTAAGAGTACTGTGTAAAATCATCAACTCTGAGCTTTTAAAGCCTTCTTTTCTTTTTCATGAATACATTCTCTCCTAAAATTGTTAAGCAGTAGTAATAATCAGGTCCTTCCCTCAGGCCATCTTTACAGTTTGTCTTAAAGCAGAAAGAGATACATTTCCTGCAGCCTTTTAGAGTGAGAGGAAGAGATTCAGGCTTCTCTCCTCTAAAAGGACTGAGTGAAGGGAAGAGTCAGGAAAAACCAAGACCTAACTAGCACCCTGCTGGATATACCAGAGAATTACAGAAGCCACATAGTGATCTGCATTGCTTCCTTTTCCTCTGATAAAATGAAAAGCCACTTAGCAGGCCACATGCAATGGCTCACAGCTATAATCCCAGCACTTTGGAATACCAAGGCAGACGAATCACAAGGTCAGGAGTTCAAGACCACCCTGGCCAACATGATAAAACCCCATCTCTACTGAAAAAAAAAATTAGCAGGGCATGGTGGTGTGTGCCTGTAATCCCAGCTACTCGGAAGGCTAAGGCAGGAGAATGACTTGAATGTGGGAGGCAGAGGTTGCAGTGAGCTGAGATTGCACCACTGCACTCCAGCCTGGGCGACAGAGCAAGTCTCCATTTCAGAAAAGGAAAAAGAAAGAAAGAAAAGGCACTTAGTAAGACTGCCTGGAGCCACATTCCAGAGTTTCAAATACATTTTGTAATAAGTAAATTTTAGGTCTTTTAATTTAACACATTATAATAGCAAAATATAACCATATTTTTATATTTCAGCTAAAAGCAACTGGGCAAAATGTCTCTGAGAATTTTCTGTATATCTGTTCTTAAGAACTACATCTGGGCCAGGCACAGTGGCTCATGCCTGTAATACCAGCACTTTGGAAGGCTAAGGCGGGTGGATCACTTGAGGCCAGGAGTTCAAGACCAGCCTGGCCAACATGGTGAAACCCTGTCTCTACTAAAAAAAAAAAAAAAAAAAAAAAAAAAAATTAGGCAGGTACAGTGGCAAGTACCTGTAGTTCCAACTATATGGGAGGCTGAAGCATGGGAATCAATTGAGTCTGGGAGGCAAAGATTGCAGTGAGCTGAGATCACGCCACTGCACTCCAGCCTGGCAATGGCAAGCCTGTTTCAAAACAAAACAAAAAAAACACAGTGTACTTGAAGGAAAGAAATTATTAAGTACCATTTTCTGAAAGTTTACTTTTTGAAAATACTATTTGTGCAGTACTTTATTCAGTTAAACAATGTGAACTCCAGGAAAATGAGGTAGCTTTTTGGTTGTTGTTTTTACAACTTTGAAGCAGAAGATAAAAATAAACCTACATCCTATTGCTTTTTCTTTTAGGAACACATGATTCTATGCAGATTTGCAGACCAGACAGCTGCCCAGCTCCCACCCCAACGAAGGCTCATAGGTATGTGTTTTCATAGAGCAGCTGTTGAGTATATTATGCATAATATGACGGTGAATGATTGGACCAAGTCTACATGGGAAAAATTTATCAACAAGAAGTCTATTTTTCAACGAGAAACTAAATATATTCTTTCCAAAAAATTCATATTGAAAAGGGTTTTGTAACTATAACATTTTATCCTATTTTGGTTAACTTTAATAATTTTGAATGTATTTTCAATGTTTGTACATTGAGTAGAATTCTTAGGTTAAATCTCTTTCTTACTGTTATGAACAAACTGCAAGATCTATCAAAAGCCACAAAAGAAAATACTAAAGATGAAAAAGTTAACTACATATGCCAAAATTGATGCATTATAAAATATATACACAAGGATGATAACATTTTCTTTCTCAGGAAAGAGGATACTTGTGTATTATTTATCATAGACCAATTTATTTGACATTTGCAGTATTAAACATTACCTAAATTGGAAGACTACAGAAGCATTTCAAGTTGAATAAGTAATTGATTTATTGAAGACTCACTTTAGAAAAAGAAATCACATTTAAAAGAATAATAGCAGTTAATAGTTACATTTAAACACTGAGCTAAATGCTCTCACCTGTTATCTCAGTAAATTCTTACAAATATACATATGGGGTAGGTACTATTATTTACATTTTAATGATAAGGAAACTGAGACAAAAGCTTGCCTTGGGTCCTTCTTCTGGTAGATGATGGAGCTATACTGTGAACCTAAATTATTTGATTCTGGATATGAAGTTCTTGTCCATTTTTGTTACTGCTTCCCAGCATGCTGGTGTCACATCAGAGTTTAAGAAAAATGTCAAAACTAATCTTAAAATTATTCAGAGAAGCCCAATATTGGACACCATCATATTTTTTCTCTAAATTTCCAGTGTAGCCCCTTTTCCTCCATGGTATACTAGAAAACAGATTGTTATTACTTTGGCTGAGCACCAGATGCAGCTTACATTCAGAGACCAAGTTGTATGAGAAATCATTATCTTTAAAATCAAAGGCAGCATAGCAAGATGCTCACACTTGGAGAAACACATGAGACCTGAGACTAAGGGAGTGAGTGATTTCCTTCTCTTTCTCACTCTCTGCAGCATAAACATTTGGAAAGGACTCATTCTCTTCTTCCTGCAACCTCTTTGTCTTTCAATGCCTTTCCTTCTTGCTCCTCCTTTTCCCATCTGTAGCACTTTGAATTAATAGAATATACATTTGAAGAGATTCCACTCACTAGACCCAATGTCTTAGTCTGTTTTGCACTGCTATACAACATAATACCATAAACTCGGTAATATGTAATGAATGAACATTTATTTGGCTCACATTTCTGAAGGCTAGGAAGTCCAAGATCAAGGGGCTGGCATCTGGTGAGGGTCTTCTCCCAGCATCATAACATGATGAAAGCAACACATGGTGAAGGAGAGAGCAAGAGAAGGCTGAATGTGTCCTTTTAGAAGGAACCCACACTCTAGATAATGAATGACGATTATGATATTCATTCATTCACTCCACCCTCTTGGCCTAATCACCTCAAATGATAGCAATCCAGTGAAGACATAATTAATATGGTGGATGGATGGGTACATGGTAGATATGTGTTTTAGGTATCAAAGTAAAGGGGAGTGGCTGAAAGAGAAATTGCTAGAGTGGTGGGAGGCATTTGGCAATGGGAAGAATGGGGGAAATCACATTGAGGGAAAGCTGTCACATGTCTACATCTCTGCTTTACACAGGCCATTCCTGTGTTCTGTGAACATTTTTAGGAAACTCCCCAGGCCCGCAAAGGTAGACTACCAGCAGCTAAATTTCAATTGTAGACACTTCAACATGTTAAAGCATGAAATTCTTCTACATAATGGAAAAGGAAAAATTAACCAGACTGGGATCAAAGCCAAGGGTAAATGAGCTGCAATGTAAACCCTGGGTGGGTACTAAAGGAATGTAGAGCATCCCATGCTGACAGATAATGTTTCATTTTAAACTAAAAAGTAGATGGGAGAAACCTTTACAGATGTCTTAAGAAAGGACAGTATTTTATGGGGAAAAAAAAGAATGTCAGCTATAAGACTGTTAATGAAGAAGGGATGGTTTTGCCTAAATGGAATTCTAGACGTCTCTTTTTATTTCATTTCTAATACAGTTTAATCTTGGTGAGATGGGTTATTTTAAGGAAAATGTACAAAGTAAACATTTTAAATATGAGTCTCTCATTGTTAATTCTTACCTACTAATTTCACCTTTCACTGTTTTTTTCTGTGCAGATTCTGTTGTTCATAGAACTTTTCTATTTCAGTGATCTGTCTTCATTTCTGAAGTAGATCTTAGTTTATCAGTTTCCACTGTCATTCAGATGTGTTTAGGCAGTATTATAATTGTTTAGGAAAAATAGAATGAAGTTTTGCATGGTCAGTGATCTTTTTCCAGGAGGATGAAGAAGCTTATAGATTGAATTTAGAGCAACTGAAAGTATAAAAAAGTAAACCGTGGCTTTGAATATATTCAGCCCCAAATCATTTTTCCCAAGCTACTTTTAAAGTTTGTGTTTGCCAAAGGAAAACAAGTTAACCGCTTTGCTTGCCAGTCAGGTTTCCTCTTTTGTCTTCCAAAGATTGTAAAGGAAATAGAATACCACTATTTAATAGAGGTATAGGAGTTTGGAAAAGTAAGAGTATATTACACTCAACATTACATTTCCACCTGAAATGAGTGCCATATAATTGAGAATTTTCTCAAGTATTTTTCATTTCTCACTTCTTCATAGCTCTAAAAAACTTCAGCTGGAAAGCTATCTTCTTTCAGATGGAAAAGCTAAGTTCTTTCAGACGGCCCTTAATCAGCATGTTATTTTAAATATTCTTAAAGACAAATTTTTTTTCTACAGTGTTACAGATAATGTAGTTTTATAGGGAAAGCAGAGAAAAGGTCTCTAAATGTATTTTTAACCGAAATAGGAAATAGAATCTGAGGCTCCAATTTGAGATTTGTTTATAAATACATTTGAAAAGGTTAACATTCTTTAAATTATTAGCAGAGGCAAATATATGAAGTGCGATGTTTTTGTCACCATCATCTTTCCACCTTAATCAAGAATTAAATTGAAAGAAAATAAACAAGACTTGCGGGTATAAAGCATGCTCCATAGTACTTGCAGATTTTGTCATTATATAGATTCCCTTAAACAAACTGAAATTGCCTTGCTAGTGAAAGGGTTTCTCATGATACCATTTGACTATATTTCAGGAAAACAGTGCATGTGCTTGGTGGATCTGGATCGAGCAAGAGCTGCAGAAGAATGTGGCTACTCCGTTCAAGTGATATCCATGGAGCCAGAGAGCTGCTCTCCCAAAAATAACATGATTGTGGGAATCCCCATTTAAAATGAGACATTCACATCTGATATTTTGCCATCCATCTTGACGTTGGATGCCCAGTGGCATTCAGGAGGTTCTTGGCATAACTAGGAAACAGCATTAGCCATCTTGAATCTATTGTGCTCAGGAAGAAAAGCAACAGGAAAATCTTGGAAGAAAGGCTTCCTGCACAGCATCACAAATGCTCTTACAATGTGTGATTAAAGGACTGCTGGTTTTCATAGTGAGAATCCCCTGAAGTCTCAGCTGCCAAAAGAATAATACTAGTGGAGGTTCCATCACAGGAATAACAATTTCCTTCTCACTTCACAAGCTCTTCTGATCTTGCCAATGTGATGTTTAATTCAAAACAGTGTACTTACAGCCTTTATTTTATACTTATTTAGATATTCACATGGGAACTGAAACTAGACTCAGTGGAGTTTTTTTGTTTTTTATATTTTTAACAATTGTACTTTTTTTATAACTTTAAAAAAATATAGTCAGGTAATTATAGTATAGTTATTTTTAAGCTGGGGTTAGTTGAACTTGTATAGCATTTAATATGCTCCTTTTAAATATATTTCTGCCAGGCATGGAGGCTCATGCCTGTAATCTCAGCACTTTGAGGGGCCAAGGTGGGAGGACCATTTGAGCCCAGGATATCAAGACTCACATGGACAACATAATGAGACCTCATCTCTCCAAAAATTTAAAAATGAGGCGGGATTGAGCCCAGGAAGTCAAGGCTGCAATGAGCTGAGGGCATCACAACACTCCTGGCTGGGTAACAAAGTGAGACCCTGAACCAAAATGAATGAATGAATTTCCCATAAATTACCAAATGCGATCATCACTGGTTCAAATTATTAAATAATTGCAACAAACTTCCTATTATGGGAATGTGGAATTTGGACACAAATTTTAACAATAAGGTATATTGGTTAATAAATTTAAGTTTGTAAGTAATTATTAAGGATCTAGTATTTTCAAGACCTTGGCCTAGATTCTTTTCAAGATTCAAAGATGAGATGCAAAAGATATAATATTTTGCCTATGAAAGTAAATCATCTAGAAGAAAAAGATTAAAGAATTAGTTAAGTTCTTTATATTACAATGTATTGTCACAGGATTTGTAATTCAGATGTCAATCATTTATAAATTCTTTTTCTGCCAGCCAACATTTAAAAGACAAATGACGCATCATTTCTCAATGCTGCTAATTCTTTAATTTTTACATGTCCCAAGTATTCCATTTGAGATTTATTTCATTGATGTTGATGTTTTTAACCCCAGTGTAACATGTATCATGAGGAGAAAGCACCTTCATTGATCATCACTATGGATTAAAATAGAGGAATATTTTACAAGGCAGTATAGGTGGGGTGGGAGACATTTTGGAATCTTGTTTTCTGGGATAAATTTTTTAAAAAGAATTAGGCATTAGCCCTGAGTATTTTAGTCATTTGTGCCCATAGATAACAACATGCTCTTTTATTCTGGACTTGCTTTTTTTTTCATTGAGGTTTAATTTATATACAATAACAGATTTTTAAGTATTCATTTGAAACATTTTGACAACCGTATGTATCTATACACTCAACCATCACTGAAATTAGATATAAAATATTCCCATCAAATACTTTCAGGTAAACACATTGAGAATATTTTGCCAGTCTGTGGCTTACCTACTTATTTTCATAATTAATGTTTTAATTTTGATGAAGATTTAATTTACCCTTTTACTTTAATGATTAATATTTTCTGTGTTCTTTCTAATAAATTTTACCAACTCTAAGGTTATAAAGATTTCTCCTAAGATTTTTTTGTAGAAACCTTATGGTCCTAGCTTATTATATTTAGTTCTCTGATCTATCTCAAATTAAACTCACATATAGAGGTAGGTAGATTTTGAGGAATATATAGTTGTTTCAGCATCATTTTAAAAAATCCCTTCCTCTCCTCATTGAACTGCCTTGGCCCCTCTGTTGAAAATCAGTTGATATATATGTATGGGTCTATTTCTGAATTCTCTAGTCTTTTCCATTAATCTATTTATCTTATTGTTATAGTTTTATAGTAAATCTGGAAATCAGGTAGTTTGTCTTCCAATTTTATTTTTCATTCTCTATTTTGGCTGTTCTGGATCCATTATATTCCCATGTAAATCTTAGAATTGGCTTGTCAATTTTTTTTTAAAATTTTACCAAAAAAGCTTGCTAGGAATTTTTGTATTGCCTGTTCTCTTTAGATCAATTTGAGGAAAATGAATATCTTACCAAGATTGAATCTTATAATCTATGAATATATCTTTCCATGCGTTTAGGTCTCCTTTAATTACTCAGAAACATTTTATAAGTTATTTTCTGTGTAGATGATTTGTTTTATTTATTACGATTTTACTGTTAGCTTTTTACATGTTGTTCCCTGTACTTAGAATAACCTCTTTTTACCCCTCCCACTAGCTTAATGTCATTCATCCTTCTGCTCTGAGACTTGACCTCCCTGGAATTAGGTATCTGTTATAAAATGTCTACCATCCAGAGTAGTCTTCTCAGTCCTCCCCAAGTGACTCAAGGTACACGCCCCTGCCCCCTGCTTCGCCACCACCAAAAAAAAAAAAAGCTCATATGATGAGTATGGAGAACAAAAACAGAAAGGGGGCCAGGCACAGTAGCTCACACCATGTAATCTCAGCACTTTGGGAGACTGAGGCAGGTGGATCACTTCAGGTTAGGAGTTTGAGACTAGCCTGGCCAACATGGTAAATCCCTGTCTTTACTAAAAATAAAAAAATTAGCTCAGCATTAGTGGGGTGTGCCTGTAATCCCTGCTACTCAGAAGGCTGAGGAAGGAGAATCGCTTGAACCTGGGAGGTGGAGGTTTCAGTGAGCTGAGATCGTGCCACTGCACTCCAGTCTGGGAGACAGAATGAGACCTTGTCTCAAAAAAAAAAAAAAAAACAATAGAAAGGGGACCCATTGCTCTCCCACCTTTGTTCTTGTCATGGCATTCTCCAGCTGTGATGGCTTCGGTTAGTAAAAAATACAGGTTTTGTGACTGCTCTTTGGGCATTATTTTTCTATGTAAATCCTTGCCAATGCTGCTGTCCCAGCCAGGGCAAATAAAAATGGTTGGCTACCGAGAGCAGGAAGATTGTTGCAATGATAAAAGCCCAAGAAGTGACCTGATCTTACCTTCATCTTTGTCCATCAAAAGCAAGGCTGCTGTTCACTGATCTATCTCTCCCAAGGTTGTAATAATATTAGAAACCACAGCTTATCTTTCATTGGCTTTTGAGCCTGACTCAGCAAAAGAAGGGTATAATTATTAATGACTAAACTGTGTTATTTTAGGAGACAAATTTCAGTCATATTAGATATCAAAACATTTTCAGGGCACATATGCAAGGTAATATGTAAATAACACCAGTTAAACATTTAGTTTTATTCTAAAGATTTTGGCTACAGGTGTCGCCCATTCCATGGTTCAAGAAAATTGCTGTTAATAGAGCTTTCACATACTGAAACCTGTTTTTCTACTGACTTACATAATGAAATTAGAGATACATTTCTGTAAAGTGATATGAAATTATAATAAAGGAAATGATACATTTTTAAATATATATATATATATATATATATATATATATTTTTTTTTTTTTTTGAGACGGAGTTTTGCTCTTGTTACCCAGGCTGGAGTGCAATGGCATGATCTCGGCTCACTGCAACGTCCGCCTCCTGGGTTCAGGCAATTCTCCTGCCTCAGCCTCCTGAGTAGCCGGGATTACAGGCACGCGCCACCATGCCCAGCTAATTTTTTTGTATTTTTAGTACAGACAGGGTTTCACCATGTGGACCGGGATGGTCTCGATCTCTCAACCTCGTGATCCACCCGCCTCGGCCTCCCAAAGTGCTGGGATTACTGGTGTAAGCCACTGCGCCCGGCCTAAGTTATAATTTTTTTAAAGAAACTATCAATACGAAAGTAGTTTGGAGTTTTTGAGTACAGTTTTTTTTCTTTTTGAGACAGGGTCTCTGTCATTCAGGTGAACACAGCTCACTGCATGCAGCCTCCACCTCCCCAAACTCAAGTGATCCTCCCACTCAGCCTCCAGAGTAGCAGGGACTACAGGCCCATGCCACCACGCCCAGCTAATTTTTGTATTTTTTTGTATAGATGATGTTTCATCATGTTGCCCAGGCTGGTTTTGAACTCCTGGGCTCAAGCAGTCTACACCTGCTGGGATTACAGGTATGAGCCACTGTAACCAGCTGAATACACATTTTTAATTACAAAGAAATACATATTTGTTATAGAAAAGAAGATGTGGCTAAACAAAAAGAAGAAAATTCCTAAATTCACTATGTTAATGCTTTGTTGTATGCCTCCTAGTCTGTTTTTATAGACACATACATACACACATTTTTTTATTTTATAGAGACAGGTCTTGAACTCCTATGCTCAGGCAATCCTCCCACCTTGGCCTCCCAAAGTAGTGGGATTACGGGTGTGAGCAACCTCAACTGGCCAGATTTATTTAACAAACCTTAATACAGTACTTAATATTTGCTAGGCACTATTCTAAGTCCTTTAAAAATAACCCATTTCATCTTTTAAGTCATTTATTCCTCATAATGACCCTACAAACTAGATGCCATTAATAATCCTATTTTACAGAAATGGAGGCTAAATTTACACAATAAATGCAGACTTGTATTTGAATTCAGCCAGTAATTGGTAGAACTAATATTCAAATTCAGGCTATTTAGCTATCCTATCAGGATTGGCTGGAATAAACTATGATAACGAAATCTCTGGGTCTTTACCCAAGAAAGATACAGTTTTCACTCATACTACATATCTGTCCAAATTGCTACGACTGTTCGACATTATCTTCATACCATGACTTAGCCTGACTGGTCAGCCTCTGGGAACATAGCTGGTCTCCTGGCAAGGGAAACACTGGCATGGCAAACTACCAGCTAGTTATTGAAGATTCAGCCCAGATGTGATACACATCATTTTTCCTTATTCTATTGGCTAAAGTGAGTTATATAGTGCCTCCTAATATTAAAGGGTAGGAATATATAGCTTTATAGAATAATTTACTACCAACAATGTAGTAGAAGGAAGAAAGGGACGGAGAGGGTGAGGGGAAAAGAACAAAAGTAAAAGACCATCACATATTCCAGTTTGGAAATAGAGTTTTTAAATGCCATTGACTTGGTGTAGGCCATTCTCTCTAATCCATCAAAGAGAAGGAAGGCATGCGCCACAGGGATTTCCTGCTATGATTGTCCCCACCTTATCTGCAAAAGATATGTTCCAAGACCTCCAATAGATTCCTGAATCCTTAAATAGTATTGAACCCTACGTATACTGTTTTTCATTCTGATAACCAAGACGGCTACTAAGTGGCACGGTTAGTATATATAGTGTGGATTTACTGGACAAAGGGGTGATTCAAGTCCTGGGCTGGATGGAATGGGATAGCACACGATTTCATCACACAGAATAGCATGAAATTTAAAACTTATGAATTATTTATTTCTGGAATTTTCCAATTAATATTTTCAGACCACCGATAACTGAAACAGTGGAAAGTGAAACCATGATTGAGAGGGAATTAATTGTATTGCTTTGTGAACTTTCACACTAACTTTTGAAAAGGCATTTAGAAGGTTGAAGAAACATTAAATGGAGTTTCAGATTTGCAAAGCCCGTTTTTGACTCATATATTAAAGTATTTGATCTGTAATACCAAATACTCTTTTAAGAAGGTATAAGGTTACACTCCTATGAGGAATATATGAGTATTTATTTCCCTACACCCTTCATCAATACAGGCATTATCAAATATCTTTTTAAATATTGGCAATTTAATGGGCAAAGAATGCTATCTTGTATAAAAGTATATGATTGCATATTTTTTCATGTTTTTTAGCAATTTATAATCTGAGTTGTCTAGGCAATCATCAATTTATTTATTTAATCAACACATTTATTGAACTTTGAGCCTAGGCATTGCGTTTATGTCTCTTACTCATTTTTTACCTGGTACTTTCATCTTTCACATAAATTAGTAAAGGTTTACTTGTGGATTAAAGACTTTGTTGATCATTACTTTTTTTTAAGTTGGCCTTTATGAAGGAAGGTGTTGTTTTGTTTTAGTTTGCTATTATAAAGTTTAAAATATATGTCACTCTCTTCCTTGTGGTTTCTCAGAAAAAGTCCCCCCCACGTAAATAAATTCATCTATGTTTTTTATATTCCAATTCTTTAATAGTTTTAGTTGTTACATTTAAATCTTAAAACCACCAATAATTTCTTCTGGTGGTTAGTTTGAGGTAGAAATCTAATATTCTTTTTTATGTCAGTTACTTTTCATAATGCCATTGTGAAAAAAAGGCCAGATTTGTATCCCATTGATTTGAGATGCCTTTATTATGTACTAAGTACACCTGAAACTTTCTTCACTTCCATTCTGTTCTTTTTTTTTTTTTTAAATTAAGTTCTGGGATACATGTGCAGAACGTACAGGTTTGTTACAAGGTTTACCTGTGCCACGATGGTTTGCTGGATCCATTAACCCATCATCTATATTAGGTATTTTTCTTAATGCTATTCCTTGCCTTGCCCCCCACCCCCAACAGGTACCAATGTGTGACATTCCCCTCCCTGTGTCCATGTGATTACATTGTTCGAGTCCTACTTGTGAGTGAGAATATGTGGTGTTTGGTTTTCTGTTCCTTGTTAGTTTGCTGAGAATGATGGTTTCCAGCTTGATCCATGTCCCTGCAAAGGACATGAACTCATTCTTTTTAATGACTGCATAGTAGTCCATGCTATATATATGCTATAATATCTTTATCCTGTCTATCATTGGTGGGCATTTGAGTTGGTTCCAAGTCTTTGCTATTGTGAATAGTGCTGTAATAAGTGTGTGCATATGTCTTTATAATAGAATGATTTATAATCCTTTAGGTATATACCCAGTAATGGGATTGCTGGGTCAAATGGAATTTCTATTTCTAGATCTTAAGGAATCACCACATTGTCTTCCACAATGGTTGGACTAATTCACATGCCCACCAATGGTGTAAAAGCATTCCTATTTATCCACATCCTCTCCAGCATCTGTTGTTTCCTGACTTTTTAATGATTGCCATTCTAACTGGCATGAGATGGTATTTCATTGTGGTTTTGATTTGCTTTTCTCTAATGACCAGTGATGATGAGCTTTTTTTCATGTTTCTTGGCCACATAAATGTCTTTTTTTTTTTTTTTGAGATATGTCTGTTCATATCCTTCACCCACTTTTTGATGGGGAGGTTTGTGTTTTTTTCCTTGTAAATTTGTTTAAATTCCTTGTAGATTCTAGCTATTAGCCCTTTCTCAGATGGATAGATAGCAAAAATTTTCTTCCATTCTTTAGATTGCCTGTGCACTGTGATGATAGTTTCTTTTGCTGTGCAGAAGCACTTTTCTTTAATTAGATCTCATTTGTCAATTTTGGCTTTTGTTGACATTGCTTTTGGTGTTTTCATCATGAAGTGTTTGCCCATGCCTATGTCCTGAATGGACATAGGTTTTCTTCTAGGTTTTTTATCTAGGTTTTTTCTTCTAGGGTTTTTATCATTTTAGATCTTACATTTAAATCGTTAATCCATCTTAAGTTAATTTTTGTGTAAGGTGTAATGAAGGGTTCAGTTTCAGTTTTCTGCATATGGCTAGCCAGTTTTCCCAACACCATTTATTACATAGCGGATGCTTTCCCCATTGCTTGTTTTTGTCAGGTTTGTCAAAAATCATATTGTTATAGATGTGTGGTGTTATTTCTGAGGCCTCTGTTCTGTTCCATTGATCTATAGCTTTCGTTTGATACCAGTACCATGCTGTTTTGATTACTGTAGCCTTGTAGTATAGTTTCAAGTCACATAGTGTGATGCCTCCAGCTTTGTTCTTTTTGCTTAGGATTGTCTTGGCTATACAGGCTCTTTTTTGGTTCCGTATGAAATTTAAAGTAGTTGTTTCTAATTCTGTGAAGAAGGTCAGTGATAGCTTGATGAGAATAGCATTGAATCTAGAAATTACTTCAGGCAGTGTGGCCATTTTCACAATATTGATTCTTCCTATCCATGACCATGGAATGTTTTTCCATTTATTTGTGTCCTCTCATTTCCTTGAGCAGTGGTTTGTAGTTCTCCTGGAAGAGGTCCTTCACATGCCTTGTAAGTTGTATTCCTATGTATTTTATTCTCTTGGTAGCAATTGTGAATGGGAGTTCACTCATGATTTGGCTCTCTGTTAGTCTATTATTGGTGTATAGGAATGCTTGTGATTTTTGCACATTGATTTTGTATCCTGAGACTTTGCTGAAGTTGCTTATCTCCTTAAGGAGTTTTGGGGCTAAGATGGTGAGGTCTTTTAAATATACAATCATGCCATCTGAAAAGAGAGACAATTTGACTTCTCTTCCTATTTGAATACGCTTTTTTTCTTTTGTCTGATTTCCCTGGCCTGAACTTCCAATACTATCTCGAATAGGAGTGGTGAGAGAGGACATCCTTGTCTTGTGCCAGTTTCAAAGGGAATTCCTCCAGCTTTTGCCATTCAGTATTATTATTATTATTGAATTTTATTAAAGGCATTTTCTGCATCTATTGAGATAATTATGTGGTTTTTGTCAGTGGTTCTGTTTATGTGATAGATTACATTTATTGATTTGCATATGTTGAACCAGCCTTGCATCCCAGGAATGAACCCAACTTGATCATGGTGGATAAGCTTTTTTACGTGCTGCTGGATTCAGTCTGTCAGTATTTGATTGAGGATTTTTGCATCAATGTTCATCAGGAATATTGGACTGAAATTTTCTTTTTGTTGTGGTTCTGCCAAGTTTTGTTATCAGGATGATGCTGGCCTCATAAAATGAGTTAGGGAAGAGTCTCTCTTTTTCTATTGTTTGGAATAGTTTCAGAAGAAATGGTACAGCTCCTCTTTGTACTTCTGGTAGAATTCGGCTGTGAACTTGTCTGGACCTGTTTTTTTTTTGGTTTTTCTTTTTTGGTTGGTAGGCTATTATTGCCTCAATTTCAGAATTTTTTATTGGTCTATTCAGGGAAATAACTTCTTCCTGGTTTAGTCTTGGGAGGGTGTATGTGTCCAGGAATTTATCCTTTTCTTCTATATTTTCTATTTTATTTGCATACAGGTGTTTATAGTATTCTCTGGTGGTAGTTTGTATTTCTGTGGAATCAGTAGTGATCTTCTTTTTATCATTTATTATTATTTTTTATTGATCTCCTTTTAATAATTTTTTATTGTCTGATTCTTCTCTCTTTTCTTCTTTATTAGTCTAGCTAGCAATCTATCTATTTGGTTAATCTTTTCAAATAATCATCTCTTGGGTTCACTGATTTCTTGAAGGATTTTTTTCATGTCTTTATCTCCTTCAGTTCTGCTCTGATCTTAGTTATTTCTTGTCTTCTGCTAAGCATTTCTTTGCTTTTGATTCTCTAGTTCTTTTAATTGTGATGTTAGGGTGTCAGTTTTAGATCTTTCCCACTTTACATGCTATGTGGTGCTGAGAATGTATATTTTGTTGATTTGGGTTGGAGAGTTATATAGATGTCTATTAGGTCCACTTGGTCCAGGGCTACATTCAAGTCCTGAATATCCTGTTAATTTTCTGTCTAATTGATCTGGCTAATATTGACAGTGGGGTGTTAAAAGTCTCCCACTATTATTGTGTGGGAGTCTAAGTCTCTTTGTAGGTCTCTAAGAACTTGCTTTATGAATCTGTGTGCTCCCGTATTGGGTGCATATATGTTTAGGATTCTCCTTGTTGCATTGATCCCTTTACCATTACTAATGCCCTTCTTTGTCTTTTTTGATCTTTGTTGGTTTAAAGTCTGTTTTATTAGAGACTAAGATTGCAACCCCTGCTTGTTTTTTGCTTTCCATTTGCTTGGTAAGCATTCCTCCATCCCTTTATTTTGAGCTTATATGTGTCTTTGCACATGAGATGTGTCTCCTAAATATAGCACACCAATGGTCTTGACTCTTTATCCAATTTGCTAGTCTGTGACTTTTAATTGGGGCACTTAGCCCATTTACATTTAAGTTTTATATTGTTGTGTGTGAATTTCATCCTGTCATCATGAGGCTAGCTGATTATTTTGTGCATTAGTTTTTGCAGTTTCTTCAGAGTGTCATTGGTCTTTATATTTTGATATGTTTTTACAGTGGCTAGTACTAGTTTTTCCTTTCCATTTTTAGTACGTCCTTCAAGAGCTCTTGTAAGGCAGGCCTGGTGGTGACAAAACCCCTTAGCATTTGCTTGTCTGTAAAGGATTTTATTTCTCCTTCACTTATGAAGCTTAGTTTGGCTGAATATGAAATTATAGGTTGAAAATTCTTTTAAGAATGTTGAATACTGCCCCCCCACTCTCTTCTGACTTGTAGAGTTTCTGCAGAGAGCTCTCCAGTGTTAAGTGTGATGGGCTTCCCCTTGTGGGTAACCCAACCTTTCTCTCTGGCTTCCCTTGACATTTTTTCCTTCATTTTAACCTTGGTGAATCTGACGATTATGTGTCTTGGGGTTGCTCTTCTCCAGGAGTAAATAATTTAGTGGTGTTCTCTGTATTTCCTGAGTTTGAATGTTGGCCTCTCTTGCTAAGTTTGATATGTACCCCTGAGTAATATT